ATTTTTAGGGCATTTAAATCGGAGCCCTAATTATAATATTTATCCTCAAATCCTAACATTGCCCACCCCTAGAAAAATTTTTGAGGGCGCCTGTGGATATCGTCATTACCGTTGCTGCGGTTATYATCACCAGTAGTATCTATACGACTATACATAATATTATACGCCAGATAATAATGTAGAAATAATGTTAAAAATTACGATGGTGACTTTCATCAATATAATTTAATATATGTATGCGGTATGCGAGTCGATCTACTGTAGCAAAAAGTCTATTGGATAGTCATATTGTAGAGATAATCAATAATTTTTAATGAAACTGAAGAATACGCAGCCCTCGTACATTTCTTATGTAATGAAGTAATTCAACATAAATTTGTTGAGTTTTTCCAATAAGAAGGGCATGAACTAAAGGGAAGATCTGGAACAAGATAATGTATTACATTATTCTATAGAATATATTATGTCATTGTAAGTATTTACAATATTCTATTTCCATAAAATAATTGTCATTAAATATATTAGTATTTGTTGAATTAACAGGATATACTATAACGTTTTAACCAATGAGTAGTGGAATAAAATATTAATTTAAATAATATGGATATTATTATTATTATTACTTAATTTGAGTCATACTAAATTATTATGCTAGTCATAATAAATTAATATACTACCTAGTACACTACACAGGTATATTGAAACTTACAACATCCTTGAATACAACTTGAAAAGAAAATAACTGATAGGCGTCATTTTCTAAAAATTTTGGTACAGTTTTAAATGTGCCATCGCATCCTGCTACTCRGACCTAAAAATCCATAATAATAATTCATTAATTAACACTCATATACATTATTGATTTACTGTGACCAACATTTCTCAAATCGGGTGCAATTGCATTTATATTGGCTACATTACAAAAAATCACTCCACTCACGGTTCCCTCTATCGCAATGGACCTTGATAAAACCTATTAAAATGGTTTGTTTTAATTCTTTTCTTATGTTTTTTGTTTAATAAATGAAAATAATTAATATTTTTTAACCTGTTAGGAGGATTCTGTAGTGTCATGGCAAAACATTCATTATCTACAGCCGTCAACAAATCGTGCAAGTTTGCCATGTTTCGTGGTGTCTGAGGGAAAAACGTACGTCTTAAACGCCGCATCCTCTCTACACTCTGTACAAATGTATAGTTCTCTGCAGCCTCTGGAAAGCTAATTCATACATCATATCAAAAACAAGTAAATAAGGATATCAAAACTAACCATCACCTATGCATAGTTGCATACCTTTTGTAAAAACTGTACAAAAAAAAACTTACAAAATCAGCAAAAAATTAGTTTATAGGTAGGTACTAACTTTGCAATTGCTTGCATATAAATTCCACGTGGAGTATATAAGTTTGTTTTTTTTTCTAAAACTCTCTCAGTTATCTCCTGTCGAAGCAGTGGAACATTGAGGTTGAACTCATGACAATGGCGCTTTGACAGTGTCAACCTATCATYGTTGCGGTCCGGAGATATATGAGCAGTTGCATGGCACTGTCCTTCCAATTTTTTTTTGTAACATGACAAGTAACTAGAATGTATGTTTAATTTAATATACTTTTGTTTAATAATAAATTTTATAGTTMATACTCACATTTTAGTATCTGTTACTTTATTCTTATAGTACATGTACCCAAGATCATCTCTTATAATTTCTGTGCCTCTTTGAATGCCTAGAACTACAGTGTAGGACTGTGGTCTTACTACAGCAACCGGAAGCAGAGGTTCTAATATTAACAATTAAAAATAACATGTTATCTTAGAAGCATACTAAATGGCCATCCGGAATCCGTATCATAAATAGGTTATAAAACTTCTGTACTAGTGGTTTAATGGTTTAATCAAAGAAAAATACTTACAATCAGGGACTGTATTTAAGATGTTGTCGCTGTTGGCAACAATATTTTTGCGCTACTGGCTTTGGAAATATTTTCTTATCTCAGCATTTTTACTCAATTATTATTACTCACACAAAATCAAAAATAAGTGTCTTATAATTAATTAAATATAATTGTAAATTATAATATATAACAAACTTTTATAGAAGATTAAACTGTATAATATGCCACATTTCAATTAATTATAATAGTAATATATTATGTAACCAATGTCAACCATATGAATAAACTAACTATTACATAACTGTACTAAAATCTGCCGAGTAACCTTTTCAGAGTTAAATATTTAGATACCTACCTATTGTATTATAAAATAATATTTCTATAGCATACCCCTATGTGGTATAAGCCACAAAATAATTATATGGATTTGTGGTATCCAATTTAGTACTTAGACAAACAAGAGATCATTTAAAAAAAAAAACAATTTTTCACTTCGCCAAAAAAAATTTTGCAGTTCTTGATTGGGAACCAGTATTACACAATTTATTTATAATAATATACTCACTATTAATTATAATTTTCCATTGCTTATTCGTAAACATAATTTTACTTTTTTATAATCGCCGTAAAAATGTTGCCGCCCCTAACATAAGCCAGGGTGGACTATTACCCTCCCAGACCACCTCTTAAATATGACCCTGCTTACTATAGTTGGTTAATAATAGAAATAATTAATAGTTTAATACTTGCAATAAGTTCAGGAGATGAAGGATTTACATTTAAAATATTTTATTTACAATTAAAAATGTGTAGGTATATTGTATATACATACCATTATGATAAACAACGGGTTCTTGTACACCAAAATAATTATGATCATGATTGATGATGATGTTTAAACAGTAACAGAAACAATTCTTATAACAACCTTTTGAATTATTGTGAATACATTTAGAAGTAAACCTACTTATCATTTAGTACCAATTAATTAATAAATGTCATTTGTCAAC